TAAAGGTATCCCCGGGTGCCTGCACCCTCTCTTTAAGGCTAATAAAATTTTATACTGAACTGCAAGAAATTCCGGAAGGCGCGTAATCGCCGGTGAATTGTTTGAAAAATCGGACACGTGCGTTGATGCATGACTCGCTCGGTTGAGTCGAGAAAGAGAGAGGAAACTCTTGCTACCTTCCTCCGGTAATTTTTATCGTCCTTCTGAATTTCCTCTTTACGATGGCTTCTCTCTTTTCGTGAGTCTCTCTCTCTCTCTCTCTCTGTCTCTCTCTCTCTCTTACTCATTCTTTCCTTTCGTCTCTGCTAGTTCTTTGCCAGCATAATTCTCTTTTCCCGCTAACCGACATTCAGCGAGATATCGCACAATTGGAGCGTGCAATATTTCTCGCTCGTTGTGAAATATTCTCGCTGAGCAACACTGCAACAAGAAGCGGAGAATTCGTCGCGCTCTCGTTACCGCACTCGAACAGCCGCGAATATCTCGAGCACGTGGCGCATTGTGCATACGTGTGATAAGACCGATAAGGTCAATATATGCGTTCTTTTCGAACAGAACTTTCAAGAATAGTCGTCGATCCTTTGTTACGTCAGGCATGCAGAAGCTGTCGATGCGATCCGCACGGATTTCCAACGTTACGCTCACCGACGACACGACCGTTGCATAATTGGGTCCGCATTTCCTCCGTCGCAAAACGAAAACGTTCGTTATCGAACAGAGAGAAGCGCACACACGAGGTGTTTAATCGCGATCTTATTTACGCGAATTTCCGAGGCGCGATACTTTCGGCACGAAAGAGTGCAAACAAGCGGCAGCCCTCCCCACCGTCCCCACAATATTTGTTACATTTGTTGTATATTTTTATATATCATTTTTAATCTTGTGTTTCTTATTATGTGGAAAGGAATCTGTTGACTTTGTTTTCCCGGCCATTTAAACAAACAAACAAGAGAAACAAGGGAAAATCAGTCCGTCCTTAGAAAAATATCTCATCGTTTTTAGTCCGCGAAAACTGTTAGTTTGAGCAGTGAAAGCGTGTATCGCTCGGCTGAATGAGCATGACCCCGTTTCTGGGTGGGAAAAGGGCACTTTTCCATAATAATGAGTGGTTGTAGTGGATTCCATACGAATATATCCGAATGGTATTAACGTACTATTGAATATTTTTTTAGTAGTAAATACGTTCAGTGCCGTGTAAATTTTAAGTGCACAAACGTATATTTAGCTACAAGTAGAAAATACTTATTTAACACACACAAGCACTCATATTGCACATTTTGAAACGGCACGAATAAACGCATGACTCTTTAACGTGCTTCTTTTCATAATGAAACGAATTAAGTAAAAGAGGAATGTGTTAACGTGGTACCACTCATCAGCCGGAAAACGAGTATTGAAGAGGGTTAATCTCTTCAAAAATACTTGTGCATATTTGCGTGTGCTCACCGTATTCCTTCGCTCGATCGACTGCGCATGCCTGAGAGTGCAAGAAACGAGCATAAAAATGACAGAACGAGTAAAAAACGGGCTGAAAATAGGTCATATGAGAACTAAAAACGATGAAATATTCCTTTAAGAACGGTAGATTCATACTATATTCTGTGATATTTCAAAGCAAAATCCAGATATGCCGGTTGAAAGACCAATAAACTCAGGTATGTCGATTCACGGAACAACCAAACCTTAATCTTTTTTACGTAGTACGGTGACAAAGAATAAAGATCGACACAAAGTGATTTAAAAAAATAGAGAGAGAGAGAGAGAGAGAGAGAGAGAGAGAGAGAGAGAGAGAGAGTAACTTTTCGTAAAACCCCTGCGACGGGACAGAGTATGTACAAAGAAGAAAACAAGAAAAAAGGAGGAATGAGTAAAATTGAGGCTGTGTAAAATTACTTATAAAAATTAACTTTTCCCCGTTTTGTGTTTAAAGTGCAGCGCAAAGTCGCGCGCGCTGCAGCGACTCTCGACGGTCTGATTAACCCCTACGTAAATTCGGTCCTCCCCCAGGCCTTCGGCTGACGCTTACTTTGCTTACTTTCGCTACAATGCGGCCCGCGCTTCTGTCTCGCGGAATTCGCGATGCGAGGCGTTCAGCAGCGGCAGCCTCTCGCGTTGCTTCTGACGTCTATTCCTTTTGCCCCGCGCGGCAAGGTGTACTGCGTATATACAGCGAATTTAATAAACTGCTTTCAAGGGTCGACGCGAGAGAACCCTGTCTACCGGGTGTCTTCTGTGAGAGAAAGAGAGAGAAAGAGAGAGAGACAGGGAGAGAGAGTGATGCTTGTCTGTACACGGAACAGGGTTGGTCGCGCGATTTACGTTCGGAGCGTTCGTAGCGAAAAATTCATTGAGTCGAGCTACGAGTTATGTTCCCATTCGAGCTCGTCTAATGATTAATCGCTCGCAGTTCGTTGAGAACATAAAGATCTCGATAAACGGAGGGCTCGGATTAAATTCGGGGGATGGCCAGCGACAAATCTCGTCCGCCGCCTGGGTTCTCCCTTGTGCGTACGCAAGGTTGCCTGTTGCCCATCCCGAATAGCCTCCTTAAGTTTGAAGCTGTGAGAAGAAGTTTCGAAGTCGAGCGATGAACGCTTCGAAAGAACGAGCGTCGTGCGGAAACATGCCGTGTTCCGAGGGCGCGTTTTATTTCGACCTATTTTACTTCGACTTTATTTTGATCTCTCGAGGATCAGAGACGGCCAGGTTTTACGCTGGATATACGATAAAAAAATACCCAGAGATCTCTGTTGTCCTCTTTGCTATTGTCGGGGCAGAAACGTCCGTTATTAATTGGTACGCATGTTCCTCGCTCGACGGAAGTCGGGGAGTTGAAATTAGATTCGGCTTCCAGATTCACGATTTCGTTTCCGTGTGTATCTCAGTATTCGAGAGCCCCACAGGCCCTCGAACGTGCTCCGCACGTTCCAAACTATTTCCGCACGCCGTGAACATTGGGAACACCCGGTAGACACGCGGGTACTAGCCTGTGCGCGCGGCGCGAATAAGAGATCCTGTGGAGAGTATGTAATTATAGCACGCTCTCGCGGAAAATGCGCTAAAAAGCGGTCGTCGTGTTTAAAGGCTATGTAGGTCAGACACTGACCTGCCTCTGCCACCTATTCCGACTGGTTGACCTCAGCGATCCTTGATATTTGACAAACAGTCCTCGAAAAGTGGAGTAAAGGCAGGGCGTCCGTAACCGCTCGCTCTTTCCCGCGGGAAGCCGGCTAATTCGGCCGGACGGACGGACGGATGGCTGTCTGTCTGGATGGATGGTTGGATGGATCGGTATCGACGTCCTGCCTGCTCCTTCCTCCGCGCTGCTCTTTCATCGCCAACTTCCGTTTTATAATCGTCCGTGTTGCCCGCGTGTGACCTCCTCCTCTTGACCGCACATTTTTGGCACTTCTCCGCATGTCGGTCTGTGATTTTCAACCGACGGTTATTGGAGTGGAGGAATCATCCCGGCGTTTCCCCGTCTCGCAATTTTTATCTCGGAGCACGACCGTCGATTATGACAATCGAACGTCGGTAAGGTTTACGTGGGATGAATCCTACGAGATGATATTAATGTTCGCAAACTCTCGATATCGTACCGGCTCATCCGGCTACAATATACTCGTATTATTCGAAATATTCAAGAAGATCGTAAGGCTTAACGTCATATTTTCGGTGGCACATCGAGGCGACTATTCATAAATATTTTATTCATCAAAATTACGTTTTCACACAGGAAAAAAGTGCTACATTCAAATAAATAATTACTCCAACGCTCCTTGGAAGATTTTTACTTGGATTAAATAAATGTATATTGTTTGAATGTAGATAAATATACTGCATTCAAGTAATATTTACTTAATTCAAATCAAATCATCTGCTCAGGAGTATCGGAATAATTCTAAAATTTATATATAATGTTTATATATAAATTTATATATAAAATTTATATATAATACATTAATCTTTAATATTAGTAGTTTTTCATTCAAATTTTACTTTCAGTTTAAAAGATAATAAATTGGAAATTAAAAGTAGTACATTTCAAAGAATACGTATGAAAAGTGTCAACTTTAATTACAAATATCTCAAGTCATAAATGGTCAATTTTTTCTAATTGTACAAACAGTTAAATGACATTTCAATGTATACGCAGTGCTTTTATTGCTTTTATTGATTTCTTGTCAAACTCATTTGTAGCTTTTTAATATGAATATATTCCAGTCGTGCGCACGCACACGCACACATATACACATTGTTCGATAAAAAATCATCTCGTATATTAAACGAATTTGCAATTTATACCATCGTACGTGATACCATAACGTCAAACATTTAGACACGCGAAAGGGAGAATATCTTGATTCCAGTTATTATCCGAGGAAAATCGGCGTGTTAACGATAATCTACTTGCTTCCGTCAATATCCTCTTTCGGGAAAACTGTGTCTCCGAAGGACGGAGGAAGGTTTCATGTTAATAGGAAAATACATTAATTAGAAAGCTGAGGGAATTAACAGCTTAACGTGCTTTAAGTCGTTAGTTTATCCATTTTCCGCTTCCTTATTCCGCGCTTTGTAATCCTATCGCGCTCGCTAGCGCTAAATGCATCCTGGACGACGAGATAGAGAATGAGAGAGAGAGAGAGAGAAAGAAAAAGAGAGAGAGAGAGAGAGAGAGAGAGAGAGAGAGAGAGAGAGAGAGAGAGAGAGGACTTAAACGTAGAATGTATGCGTGCTAGAATGTCAAATTATTATATCAACATATATAATATAATACGCAGCGATAAGACTCTTCATTAAAATTCTCTCTATGATTTAGCAACGACCAATTTACCAATTTACGTTGAGCGGAAATGTTTCTCCACATACTCGTACAGCGTTTCTATCGATAATAAACGTAAACATAGATCGCAGAGGAATGAAAAAAATATCTTTAGAATTATTCTAAAGGAATTCTAATGGGAAACCGACTGACGAGACACGACGGATTCTGATTGCAGGAGGCGTATAGAAAATGGGTGTGCAGCTCCCTGGTGCCTTACTTTGCTCACGGGGGACCGATGGACGCGAAAAGCCCGGAGAGCAGCTGGACCGGCACCAGATTAAGGCCCTGCCGATCCTTCTGCCAGTCCGTGGAGCAACGTTGTCCCTACTTACTTCCGGGCGATCGTGCCCCCGCGTACCCCACGCAATACGCCGGCGAACCCACCTTTCTTTGCAGAGGTAAAGGAAACATGAAGTAACCAACACGTACACACACACGTACACATCTTCTCTTTCTCTCTGTTTCTCTCTTTCTCACACATACCTACACACACACACACACACACACACACACACACACACACACACACACACACACACGTACACACACACAAAGCAGAAAGAAAAAGAACAAGCAGCAGCGTATTACCGTCGCGCAATTCGACTACTTCAGTCCAAGCTACTCGAGCTGAACTCTCGAGTCCGGCTCTCTCTTGACGAGCTATCGAAGAAGGGTAAAAATGTTCGTTGGCACCCTACTGCTTCGCAGAAGTTTGCGACATGACACAGACACGGAGCAGCACACGCGCGTATCAGCTCGCTCGTGTTCCACCGCGACGACGACGGGGACGACAAAGACAACAACGACGACGACGTTCATTTCGGCGCGCGCGCGCTACTAAGCCGCGCCGATGCAAATTTGCATGTGAACGCGTGCAGGCGCATATAAGCGACGACCACGGTGGAACGGCCTGCGTAAACCCCGAGGAACAATGCGCCGGCGACTTTGCAATATCGAGGCGCGCGTCGTCGTCGTTGACACGCTCACGCGTCTCCGCGAGCGCGCGTAAATTTCACGCGTAGTCCCGCAATACGTGTGACCGCCGATTTCACGTAATTTCCCGGGACGATGCCCAAGCAGGAAATATCCTCCGGCGAGGTACGACTGAATACCGATTTTTAGCGATCAGTACTGGATGCCAATATCGATTCGATACCGGCGGAATACCGGAGTGATAGCGACGGGCTGAGATTAGAAAGATAGCAAACGATCGGCAGTATTGCAAATGTATTAGAAATTATCCCCATTCCCGGTAATGATTATTATTACTTTCTCTGTACAATCGTTACCTTTGACCACCACGCACCGCTAAAGTGGCTTTCTTCTAACTTACTTTGTCGGACCAAACGCCTACTAAAGTGACTTTTTTCTAGCGGAACGCCGATCGCGATACGAATATTGAAATGTTGAATCGCGTCCCGCAGGCGGAAATCCTGTTGAAAATTTCCCGGTGGATTTTCACGAAACTTGAACGAATCCGTATAGTATATATTAAAAATCCATGTGAGAATTCCGCGTGGTGCGTGAAAAATCCATGTAAGAATCCGCATGAATTGTTAGAACCTGGATTTTGGGCGCAAATCCTCACGGACAACCGTGGGATTCCGTATGGATTTCCACCTAGTTTTTTTCAACAGGGTAGCTTCTCGCACAGGTTTGCAGTACCTAAAAAAGATTAATGCCACGTGAGGTAAAAAATGTCGGAACGAAGCGGACTCGGTTGGGATTAAACTCGGGTCTTCCGCTTGCCAACCGCTCTTATCACCGAGCCACTTAGGCTCGGTATTAGTGACACCTCCCGCTTTCCTATTTAAAGCATCGGTATCGGTAACGTGAAATCCGTATTTCGGCACTGAATTGATACCTCGCCAATCTCCGATACTAACCGAATGTGAACGACTCCTGCATGGGCGACGTCCGACCTTTTCCTCGATCTTCCTTCAGCGAACGCGCGAGCGATACTTTCGGGATATTTTATTGTCTCTTTCGGACGATAAAATTTCGTCAATTCTCACAATACGCTCCTCTGCCGACCTCGTGAACTCGGTAATCTCGATTCCTCCCGCGCTCGAAATCCGCGGCCGGACGTTTTGACGTAAATGTTTGAAGACTGCGAATGGAGGCGAAATGTTAAGCGGCTGTAGGAGGGGGGCGAGGATAATTATTAATTCGAGAAAGAGGAAAGCGCGGGGAGACGTGCAACAGCGCGAGGTAACGGCCAGACTTAAGCCCGCCTTTGTCGGCAGAATCGACTGTACGATTCCATACGAGGCTTTTACGCCGTCGTACGGAGCGCAAAGGGGTTAATATACCCGAACGAAGGTCCGAACCGTCGAATGTGTTTCCCTTCATATATTCCCCCTTTCCTTCCTTCCTCCCTCCCTACCTCCTTCTCCTCTCTTCCGTTCTTTCTTTTCATATGTCGATCCGAGTGTCGTAAACACGACGGAACGACGGCCGTCGCGTTTCGATATAAAATGGGACGCGTGCCGCGCGGTTATTGGAAGAGCAAACGTCCCCCCGTCGGGGGCATAATTTTTATCCCTTCATTTTATCCCTTCACGCGCCGTACTGACCCTCCGAGATCGCCCGATGGAACGCTATTTAATTCCTTTACTATGCTCGCACCATTGCGTTTCCGTAACGATCAACGGAAGCCTGTGCGGAAATCTTCACGGCATTTTCCGACGCGCCGGAAGAGATGAAATAATAATAAGTAAAATATGACAAGGTGGAGGAGAGAATGAAGCGAGGGGAAGTAAGTGAAGTGTTGTCACGATCGCGACAAAATCGTGCTCAAAATAATGACTGATCTATCTTCCTGGAAAATCTCGCAATCAGGTAACTCCCCTTCCTTGTCTTTCCTCGAGTTAAGTCCAATTTCCGCTTGTACGCGTTGAAAAAGAGAAAAAGCAGGGAAAGAAGGAAAGGGAAAACACACGCTAACGCACAGGATTCATTGTTTGCCGAGATGTTTGCCGAGCCGTGATTCTTTCGGTACCTTTGATCTGATGAATTTTTGAGGCGATCCCACACACGTGAGGATCCTTTCTTCGCCGTTTCGAGACCGTCGGACAGGTCGCGAAGGATCTGTGCGTTCTCCAAAAATCTCGGAGCTTCATTACCTTCCCTAGACCCGCTCATCATTCAACCGACGCGAACCCAGGCGCGTTGAAAGACGGGAGAATGACGACCTACGTGTCCTCGTGTCACCAGGTCGTTGGAAAACGCAATGATTTCAGACCCGAACATCCCCGAGACCGGCGGACAGGCCGCGAGGGCGTTGCACAGCAGCGATGACGACGAGTGCTGCTTCCACGTGTGCTCCGAGGACGCGCCAGGAACGGGTATCTGCGCCAACTGTACAGAGCCGTGGAAACACGGCAGGGCCCAGGACCCCCCGACGGCGCCCCAATGCGAGATCAATCCCCCTCAGGCTGATGTTACAGGTAGGCGATGCGAATGATTGCGTTCGACGCGGATTTTAAATCACGAACCGGGCAAAATGATTCCTATAGACTCTTCGTCGCCGAGAACAAATTTGCGAATGAATTGCTCTGTCACGTCGCATTTTTGAGAAAATTCAATTTAAATTCGCAGAAAATCGCAACTATAACACGATAGAGTTACATTGACTGTAATTACGACGATTTTCACCTTACGTGTAAATGCGTAAAGCTCAGTCCGCAAGAATACGTCCATAAGAGTGCGTAAGTCCGAAGCATTTAGCCGGAGATTGTAGAATCTGACATCCCGAGCAGCAAGGTTTAAGAAATGAAAACAATTCATTCCGCTTACGACCTTGCGTTACGACCTACTACACCGGAAACGGGCTCTTGCAGATTCACAGCCATACTTCTATGGACGTTGTAGAAAGGACTTTGGATTGAAAATCGTGTAATTTTCGATCTGAGAAATGGTGGAGCGTGCGTGACGCCGATGGGAAATCGGCCGACGCGTTCCGTTTCTTCGATTCTCTCAATCTCTTCTCCCGCAACTTTCGTCCGACCTCCCTGACAATTGACCCTCTCTTCTCGCCACAGATCAACAGTATCCGGGCTCGCAGGCGGGCCAACCGGAAGTGACCACGGATCGCGGACTGGTCGACGACGACGACGACGACGACGGCGACGACGACGACGACGACGACCAGGACACCGACGCCGCTTCCTCGTCCACCAGCATCACCCCGACGTCATCGACGACCGTGAGCCAGCAGGACGCGTCGTTCTGCGGCAGCGGTCGCATCGGCTCGATCCCGAGCGCATCCTCTCTCGGGCGATCGACCCCGCCGGTGGCCCTCCAACTCCTCTGGCTCTGCTCGATGGTCCTGATCTCCTTGTCCGGCAACGGAGCACTACACAACAACCTCGCGTTCTGGGGTCCTTCCGCTCTGCTCCGGCTGATCGGCACCTCCTGCCTGCTCCTGAGAGCGTGCCCCGGCCTCGAGGGTAGTCTCCGCTTCGCTTTCCTCGGGCCGCGCGCGGCCAAGATCGCCGTGGTGCGGAATCTCCTCTTCGTCCTCGGGATGTCGAGGCGGGCGGTGATGAAATGCCGCCGCCGTGGCTGGTGGTGGTGGAGGTCCTGGAGGAGGTCCAGCAGCCGTCACTTCCGCTGGAAATCCCGACTGAAGGAGGAGGAACGCCGTCCTCGAGTCCTCCGTCGAATTGGAGGTCGAACTCGGGGTCGCGCGCACCTCGAGGAGGCGGCGAGAGTCGCGATACCTCGCGGGATCGCGAGGAGTCGCCGGTGGGAAGGATGGCGGAGGTCGCGACTCCCGACTCCCGACGTCGCGTTCTGCCGATCCGTCCTGCGCGACGCGTCCGTCTCGATCCTCGGCTCGTTCCCGCAGCTCGCGGCGGCGTGTTCGCGTCGGTTTCGCGACTGGTGGTACTGGTGGTTGTGGCGTTGGTGGCGAAAGTGCCGGGACACGGGGCCGCGGCGGGACGCGCTCGCGTCCTCGCGGAGTTCGGAGGATCGCGTCTGCGGAACGCGACGGCGACGACGACGAGGACGGCGACGACGACGAAGAAGGAGAAGGAGAAAGAGGCGGAGAAGAAGATGGGTTTACTGCGGACGGATAGTCGGGACGGACGTCGCGTGTTCCGCCAAGTCGATGTCAAAGAAGGACCCGCCATAGGAATGGCTTGCCTCGCTTTCCTCAATGCGCAGGATCGTACGGGTTTTTTTCTATCGCGGCAGCTGCGAGTTTTCCCTCGCGGTGCCGACACTCGAGGAGTGGGCGCACACACACACACACACAGGGTCGATGATCGTCGCGGGGCACGCGAGAAAGAGACGACGCCTCGCATGCGAAAACGAATGACGTCGACTGCCGGAAGTGGGTAACACGCAGGAGGTACCGGACGTCCTAAGGAGGACAATCGGCGGACGCGGAACACCATCGTGCCGTGCGTGAGGAGCGACTCCGACAGCGAGGACGGAGGAGATACGACCGGGCCCCGACGGAGGAGACGCGGCCGGTCCCGTCGGCGATTCGAGCGATTCGGCATGTTGGAGCAAATGAGGGGAAAAGGGAGAAAACAAGGGGACGAGAATTACGGCAAAATACATAAATCATCAGAACAACCGAGAACGAAGGCAACGTAATGTCTAGCGTTAATAATAATGATAATAATACAACAATAATGAATATAACAAAATAAAGTAATGAATAAATAAATAATAATAGTTAATTAATAATAATGAAATAATAATGATTATTAAGTAATGGAGTATAAACGGAATAAATAAATAAATATATATATATATACATATGTATATACATACATATANTTACACATTAAATTACGTTACACACAAAGCGAGTGAGAGAGTGAGAGAGAACGAAAGAGAGCGAGAGAGAGCGAGAAAAAGAGAGAAAGAGAGCGAGAAAGAAAGAAAGAGCGAGCGAGGAAGAGTGAGTGAGAGCGAGTGAGAAAAGGTGACAAAAATAGGAGTAAGAAAAGAGCCGGGGAACTCGGCACCCAATGGACAGGGATAGACATACAGAGCCATGCACACGACGTACTATTACACAAATACATACGCACACACACACACACACACACATACAGGAGAGCACACCTATACGCCGGAGGAGTATAAGACGTTAAACTCTAACGAGGCGACATTAAGGGAAAAAAAAGAGTCGTAGGTAGATAGTTTCTTCGCCGAGAGCAGGGGCGACTGAGGGTGGTCTCGGACGCGAGAGCAGGAGGGTGGGTGGTGAATTATTATATACATGGTGATATTCTTCCTTGGTGCTGGAGGGCGGGAGGAAGTAAAGAACGCGTGGCACGGGATGATAAATAAGCACGACGTTATTGAAATATAATATGTGTTCGTTTAGACATTACCGTAAATAATAACTAATATATTAACATAGACCTGTAATGATACGAAGTGAGTCGAAGAGAGCGGAAAGATTGCGTGCATGTGCGTTAGTGTATGCTTGCGCGAGTGCGTGTGCGTGTGTATGTGTGCACGTGGACAAGAAAAGAGGGAGGGGGAGGGGCTGAAAGAAAGAAAGGAATAAAATATGTGCGGGCAGGAAACAAGAGAAAGAAAGGGACAGAGAGAGAGAGAGAGAGAGAGAAAATAAATGGTGAGAGAGTGAGAGTATGTGCGCGAGAACGAGAGAATGACGACGGGGACGAGAAGCGTCGAAACGACATACTTCACAGGGGTTGATCCGACGATAGAAAAGGCGACGGGACGGAGAGAGAATTGGAAGGAGAAGGGGGGAGGCGGAGGAGGGGTGAGATTGTAGAGTTCGCATTTTTTCCGTTCCCGCGTGTACGGAGGGTGGAGAAACGGGCGAGAGATTCCATGAGAGACTCGCTCTCTCTTTCCCCCTCGCGTTCTGCATTTCGATCCCCGGCTGCGCCGCCGCGACGTGATGCGACGCGATGCGTTCGATTATCGAGATCGACCATGCGGAAGGCGAAGTCGCGGACGGCGAGAAGATCGGTCGCGTAAAATCACGGTTGGTGTTCGTTACGTCGGGACATCGGGCGAGCGTTTCGATCCTTCGCGAGCTTGTCATAATTTCGAGCACCGAACACGTCGCGGACCGGGGTCGATCAGTCGTCCGGAATTCAAATTGAAGCTGCGCGCACCGTCCGACGCGCTCTGTCCTCCACTTTTTATTCCTCTCCGTCTTTTTTCTCGCTTTATCGATCGCGTCTCTCGTTTCGTTCGACGGCAAGTCCTTCTCACGAGGATCGCGCGTTTCGCTCTTCACTTCTCAGGAGTATTTTGACGATGAAGCACCTAGAGGGTCCGCTTCATCGATCGCGCGGCCGGAACAAATCGATCCTGGAGACAATAAGAGAGCAAAGTGGCCGCCGGAATTCGCGGTGGAGGGGGGGGGGGAGAACAAGAAGGAAATAAAATTCCACGAGTCTTTCTACGTCGGGCGGAAGATACGAGGGAAATTTGGGAACGCTTGGAGCAAAGAAGGGGGAGAAGTTAAAGCTCAGAGGATCACACGGCGAGACAAATCGACGGAACGAGAGAAACATCGTGGAGGAAAGGGGGGAGGGGGACACGAAGGAGAGTCGGCGGACGACGGAGCGCGAGTCAAGCGCGCGGTAATCGAGGGAAATTCGAGTCCTGACGGGAGGCGAATGGCCCCGCTTTTGTAACGAGAGACTTGCTCATAATCCTTCCCCGAAACGTGGGATGAAGGAAATGGGGAAGCCTAGGAAGGGCAGAGGGGAGGGGGGTCGAAGAGGAAACGTCAATGACGGAGAAGACGGGGACGTCACACGCGCGTACGCATCGCACACGCACACCACCCCATCGCTCTCGATGTGTAAAATAAAACGCAGTACAAGGAAGTGAGAAAGAGGATCGCCCTCGATCACGTAGAATAAAGCTCGGGGCAAAGGAGGTGGAAGGGTGTCTTCGATCACGTGAAAGTAGGAAGCCGAACAGGAGGAAGTCTTCGATCACACGAGACGAGACGCGTTGTAGGAGGACGAGGAGGGCCGAAGTGTAGGAAGAGGAGGAGGAAGAGGAGGAGATCACACAATACGCACAAATTCGCCCACCGCCTAACGAAGTCGTGTGCTCTGTTAATTGTTGGTGTTGTTTCTCGTTGTTGAGCCGAGCGTAGCCACGCGAGCGCGCGCGGGACAAGTGACAAAGAATACAAAAAAAAGTGAGAAATATATAAAAAAAAAAGAAATAGACAGAGACAGCCTCTTAAGAATTAAATATACGTATACCTGCCACCTCGCGGAACGATCGCGGGGGGGGGGGGGGGGG